CGCTGGTGTTGACGCTGGTGTTGACGCTGGTGTTGACGCTGGTCCTGTGTCCAGAGTGTGAAGGTGTTGACGTACCTGGAGCCGCGGAGTCCGGAGTATCGGCAGTTTGTCCAGGACCTGAAGAAAGACGCAAAGGAGATGTTCAACTTCACCGTCCAGGACTCGCTGGTAACAGACACATGGTCACTGACACCTGGTCCAGGAGCAGTGTTAGCAGAGTTAGCATCACTGGTTCTAATGTGTTTTGGTGACATGACTAACCCTAAAACTACAACACAACTACAGCCACACATGTGTCATTAGCAGTGAAGCTAACAAAGTTAGCCTCCTCCTGCACCATGGTCCATGTACCAGTGCTCTCTGAACTGGACTCCTCTGTCCCTCAGTTCAACCTGATCGCCGGAGGTTTCTACGACGGCGTCCTGCTCTACTCTCACGCTCTGAATGAGACCCTGAGTGAACAGAGACAAGCCGGACCAGGACCAGGACCAGGACCAGGACCAGGACCAGGACCAGGACCAGGACTGGGTTCAGTCAAAAGGCCTAAAGAAGACCTGGTGACCAGGAGGATGAGAAGTAGAACATTCCCGGGTGAGTTCCTGTGAAGCTAATCTTCACTCACAGTTCTCATGCTAACGGAGCATTTTTAGCCTCTTGAATTAGCGTCCAGTCAGTTTTCCCACCGTTGTTGGTGTTGGTTCCCAGTACCGATTCCAGCTGGAACTGATTTACAGCGCTAACAGGCTAACACCCACAGAGCTGTGTGTGTTTGTGTGTGTTTACAACAGTGTGTGTGTGTAGGAAATGCCACTCTCTGGTTCTCACGGTGGCATCACAGCTCTGAGCTCTGTGATTGGCTGCTCAGACATCATCAACAGACCACAGAGACGGAGACGGAGACGGAAGAAGCTGAGACTGAAACAACCAAACTCTCACAGGCAGGACATCCTGTCAGTCCTCCTGTCCTCCAGTCCCCCAGTCCTCCTGTCCTCCAGTCCCCCAGTCCCCCAGTCCTCCTGTCCTCCAGTCCTCCAGTCCCCCAGTCCTCCAGTCCCCCAGTCCTCCAGTCCTCCAGTCCCCCAGTCCCCCAGTCCCCCAGTCCTCCAGTCCTCCAGTCCTCCTGTCCTCCTGTCCTCCAGTCCTCCTGTCCCCCAGTCCTCCAG